TGTTAAATTTATTATAATCACCGTCACATATCATTATTTTTTTTACAAGAGATGTACATATTTAAATATGCAACATTTTCTCTATAACCTGGCTATTTTCTTTGTTTTGTTTTATGTGTGATTTGTGACGATTACCGCCACCTCATTGATCCGGTAAAATTTAAATAATTTTGTAGTATATTGTATAAAATAGTGATTAGAAATATCGTGTGTACTTATAATTGGTGGACCAAAGACTTGTCCTATTTTAAGCTAAATGATTCTTTGATAAGGTCTCTTCCTTTCTAAAAATAATAAAAAAGAAAGAAAGAAATAAGGTCTTTTCAATTAAAAGCATAGGTGAAATAGGGACATGTGTAATGCGAAACAGATAGCTACTCATAGCCATGGAGAGTATATTTGTCATTTTTAGCATTGAATTTTTCACAAGTGTACAGTGATCTAATAGTCCCAATAATTTTCAACTCTTTTATTGTCACCGCAAGAGGATGTGAAATAAAATTAAACTTAATCTTGTGCATTAATTATAAGTCAATATTAGCCGTCTAATCTTAACATGATATATTTTTATATTTAATATTAAGTTTTGACTTAATAATTTATTTTTAGTGAGTGTGTATATATGTGTGTGTGTATATATATATAATTTTTTTTCATATATATCACAATTTCACATATCAGGTATTTAACATTATTGACACATTGTGTCAAAATGTTTGTTATATAGTTTAATACATACCATTTAGTCTTTTTTCTTATGTTTTTATTGCTGAGAGCTATTATACACGTAAGGTTTATTTGGTAATACAGACTAGATACAAATGTTCTAAATAATGTTGTTAAAATTGCATAATATTTTTAATTTTTATTACTCGTTCAGTAAATTTTAACCCAGAAAAAAATAATGATATAAAAGTTCTAATTGTAGAGCACCCTTGATCCCATACCCGTCAGAATCCTCATTGAAGCGCCACAAGTCTTCACTGTTGTCACCTCTTTTCACCCTTGTTCTAGAGCACCAAGTGATGATGGCGTGATATAGCTTTTTCGATGGTAGAACCTGGGTCAAAGCAATGCCTTGATACTCAATGAACACAACCAATGGTTGGATCTAGCCCAATTGAGTGTCAATTGGTTAAATCTTGATCTAAGAGGGTTTATGATTTGTTAGGCGCGTGTGTATGTGTGCGTTTTATTGGTGTTTGTCTATGAAAAAACAAAGTCAATGCACGCTGTGTCACACTAGATCTTGCCATAGCACACTGGCCAATGGCCATTGGCTAGCGTAGTTTCAGGTGTGCTATATAGCGCACCAAGCGCCGGAAATATTTAGCACGCCATAGCAAGCTGGGGTGACTTTTCTTGAGTTTTTCATTCTTAGGCTTTTATAACATGTTGGACTTATCCATTGGAGAATCCTCAACCCTTTAAGACTCCTCGAGGTACAAAAGGAAAGTCTTGATCTACAAGATCAACTTTTGAAAATACAAAATTACTTCAAAAAATTTGGCGAATCCTACAAAATTTCTAATTATTCTTTAGAGAAAAACCTACAACCCAGCCAATAAGAGTGGAAATGAGTTAGCTTGAATTGAATTAATCTCAATTCAAACTCGGTTAACTTAAATTTATATTTACTCGTAGTTTAACTTATTTTTTCAATGAGCAAATTTTTTGTGCTTAGGCTCAACTTACGCTATATTTATGAGCAGTTTAATTGAACTCATTAACTCATATATATCAAAGATTTAAAAAAATCTAATAATTTAAATATTTCATTTAAATAATACTAATAAACAATTAATTACAATTATAAATATGTAATATCTTTAATTATAATTTGAATTGATATCAATTGCGCATAAAAAATAAGAAAAATTAGCCAATTAATATTAAACAAAAAATTTTAAATCATAAACAATTCCAAAATAAAAGAAAAACCAAACAAGTAGCAAAAGAAGATAAATAGTTCTGGAAACATTTTTCACACCTTTGCGTTTTGGTTAAAATAAATTAGTTCATCATTGTGTTGGTCCTTCAACATTATTTCACTTTTGTATCAGGCTTCAATTAACTCCCTTAATTTTAAATTGTTTTAATTTTATCCCTAAAATTCTTATTTATTTATGAAAGTCCTCCATTGGGTGTAAAATTAACAAAGCAAATATGAACTAAAAGGTCTAACTTATATATAACTCATTTGATTCACGAGCTTGGTTTATTGAACTAATTATTAAACCAAATCATGAACTATTCGTGAGCTAACTTGACTCGTTTACACCCCTTCTAGCTAGGAAAAGAGTTGAGTAAATGATCCTTTTTAACCTTGGCCCATTAGATTAGCTTACCATTGAGAGCATGAAAGGTTTTTTCTTCTCAGCTGCCCTAGGATTGTCTAGCAATGTTGTCAATTCGTTGGGAGATATTCTAGTTTGTGCTTTGGGGTTTTGTTTGGAATGATAGTTAGGGGTTTTTCTGAACCATTTGTAAATGGCACATTTGGCCATTTTGATTTGGTTAACTATTTTAGTTTTTGCGCCGTATCTAATTCTACTATTGAATTTGTTATATTAAATTGTTGTTGCGTGATAAAGCTTTTGTTTGCTTTCTATTGCTCTGGAAAATATATAGATCATATCTAACGACGAAGGACAAACTAGGGTACAAAAAAGGGGTTTAGTGATTTCAACTATGTGGCTACCACCAACTACTTCAAATTGGCTGAGTGATGCTCGCCAATTGATGGAGAGTGTAATGGGCTGATTGGGCTGGCTACCTAGCCGGCTGGTTGGCCAACAAGAGGCCATCAATTGCCTACTGATGCCTTAGCAATGCATTGCTAAAAATAGTCATGAACAACAATGCTCTAGTCATAACTAGTGGAGCTAGGGGCAACGGCAATGACAATGTTCTGAAGTTATGTCGCGGTGGTCATTGTCGGTGGTTGGTGCTGTTGGTGACACCATGGTGATGAGAGTACATGCAGTTTACATAAGGATAGATTTTAGTAATTTGTCCTGTGAATAATCAAGATAATAGTGTCAAAATATAATTTTTTTTTATCCAGATTAAGAAAAATAAAGCTTATGATATCCTTGGCAGCTAAATAGCATATTCCATTCTAATATCCAAATTTTTATTAGACAAATTTCTTGTGTATACCAAATATAAGAGATAGATAGAAATAACATGATCTTTTTATTCTTAAAATTTCCAAACGGGCCATATTACATTAAACTGGAGATGGAAAATCCTTATAAAATTATTATTTAGGAACCATTGGTTTTTATTTATATATTTTTTCACAGAAATCCGTCTTTTAACATGGTGCAGGAAGCTCTTCATCTTAGTATACAGAAATTTTGAAATGCGTGGCAGCCCAATATTTAGTCAGCTCATGTTCGGGCCCAAAAAGATACAGTAGCCCAGAAAAGGGCTATGCGTTTGTCCACCCTGTAATTTTAATCTTAATGCGATGAACAATTAGCCCCTAAATGAACGTGAGGCTTGCACCAGAGATGGAATCCAGTGGCCTTGAAGATTTTGATTTAATGAAAATCGGACACGGTAGTAAGCCAAAAAAAAAAAGGACAAGATTAATATTTTCTGCTCCCTCTAAAATTTACTGATATATGAAACATAAATAACGAGGACAAAAACTGAATACAGTAAGTCACTTGAATTTAAAATTGGCCCACTGAAAATGAGATGCCCGTGGCCGTTCCAAATTAAGTGCACGCAAGAGTTTACCTGCATAGCGATTGGTAGCTGCTCACTTTAAGGCCAACTTCCTTTTGTTATCTGGGAAGGAGTGGCACTGGCAAAATTGTTTGGTCATTCTGAATGGCATAAAACATGAGATATTTCTACTTAGTGCTTATGAAATCGGAGAAATAAAAATATTTTTGATAATTTCTTTAATAGGCCGTCAGAGTCGTGCAAGATTATTGAGTGGTGGAAGTTGGCAAGTGGAAGGATCAGAAGTAATCAGATGTCTTTTCCAATCATTTGGGATAGGCATAGCGCTAAATAATCCCCCAACTTGGGATGGATCAAACGTAATACGGATGGGACATCCCAACTAAAGAATCTTAGGATAGGATGTGAATGCCCTCTTAGGGATCATAAAAGAGACTCGATAAGAGGGTTCTCCAAGAATATTGGTTCGGCAGGAGTGTTGGAAGCAGAAGCTTGGGGTGTTTTGGAATGTCTCACTTTGATTTAGAATTTGGGGTGCAAGAAAGTTGTTCTCAAAGTTGATTCAAAAACTATAATGGATTTTTTTCAAGGAAGAAATGCCTTTCAATCTATATGGATTCTTACTCTATCCAGAATCAAAACTCTTCTAAACCAAGATTGGATAGTTGATATCAAACATGTGTTTAGAGAAGTCAATTTTATGACAAATAGGATAGCAAAACTCAACATCTTTTATGAATTGGGTTTAAAGGATTGGACTTACCTTTCCAATTAGTTGAAAAATCTACTCCTTTATGAATTAACGAGAGTCTTTACTCTCTGAAACTAATTTGTGTTTTTCTTCTTTGGGCAATTACCCCTACTTTAACTCAAAAAAAAAAAAAGAATTTACTTGTGTAGCAAGAATGAGATTGATTCCTAAATGCAGCAAATTTCAATCTTGAATTGAATCTGGTCGCCTATTTGTTCATGAAAGCTCACATAAATTTGCCAAATTTAATCCATGAACCTGATTTCTATTCTTATTATTTGCATCCAAACATGGTCTGCTTGCCCCGTGCTAGATCGAGTTGAAACAATTTCCACTTCATCATCAATATCTATACAGAGAAAAAAATATTACGAACAACACCACCATGTGTTTATTTCTTTGCTTAAATGTACAAGAAATGAAACATATCAAACAATTTACTTTTCCTTCAAATTAAGACCACAATATAAAGACGACGCGGCAGGATTTTAACGCCTTCATTAACATCATTCATCACTTCACTTCACCGGATTAAGTAGCACGCAATAAACTACAGGTCTATGGACACAACCAGCGGGGAGTCACCCTTCTCAACGACAAAGGTCTTGGAAACTTTCTTTGAGAAAGCAACGATTTCCACTTCATACGTTCCCTGGAACCCTCTAAACTCGAAGTGTCCTTGCTCGTCCACGTGCCCATGACAATGGGATAACCACTCTTCCTTTAAAGCCAGGTACCTTCGTCCAGCTTCATTAATCTCCCCCTCTGCATCAACCAAATGTGCATTATCTCGGCTCATAAACAACTCCCAGAATCCCCACAACATTATACCTTCCACTGCGGGATGAGCAAAGGCTTCCCGAAGCATCACCTCCAAGTCATCTGCCCTGACATACTCATTAGTGGAAGACACATCAAGCTCAGTAAACCAGATAGGAAGGCCAAGAATTCCCAGTTTATCCAATGCAGAGCAAACAATAGGCCCAACAGGACTGCCTATATGTCCTTGAATGCCAATCCCTCCCACTGGAGCACCCTGTTCTTGAAGATCAAGGATTTGTTGAATGTACTTTTCAGGAGAAGATCGGTAATCACACCCATCTTCAATGTGATAATCATTGACAAATAGAGTTGCAGATGGGTCTAGCTGATGAGCAATCTTGAACATATTTGACCGGATATCCTTACCCAAATGGTCCTGATAGAATGAACCGTGAAGCATCTCATTGTTCACATCATAGTGCTTGAACTTCCCCTTGTAACGGGTGAGGAGGCCCGTGAGACGATTTTGAACGGCTATCATTAAGTCATTTTTGTTCAGAGCTCGTACCCATGGCTGAACTGTGCTCTCGACCTCCCAGAATATGCAGTGACCACGAGTTTCAAAGTTATGGCTCTCACAGAAGTTTAGGAGCTCGTCAGCATCCCTGTAGTTGAAGTTACCTCGCTGTGGCTCTGTCCAATACCACTTTAACTCATTTCCAAAGACAGCCCAGTTGAAGTTTTTGGTGAAAAAATCAGCAAACTCTTCATTGTCTATGTTTGTCCTATTCACGCATGAGCCAATGGGGAAACTGTTCTGCACCTGTCTGACCTTCACAAAGGTACCAAACAGACTGCAGTCTGATCCAGACAATTTCAAGATGACATCACGCTTACGCAACTGCACAGTAAAGAAATTGTTGATTTCCAATAAAAGTGGCAGCAATAAATGTTAAATGTAGAAAAGATTCATTTCACATCATAAGAATTAGTGAACTTAAACACATAACAGAATAATAGTTAAGATTTCTAGTTGTCAATCATTCTGACTGTGCTAAATGCATCCTCTTAATCCTTTTTCCTCACTCTTTGGTAATCAGATCATTTCAGTATTGGACAAAAGCATTTCTAAAAACTACATATTTTGTAGTATATATAGCCCACTTCGAAGAAAACCAAATTTCCAAAACATGCAATTTAAGGCATCACATTTTGCTTCTTAGATGGATGTACTCCGAGCTCCCATAACTTCATGTTGCAGTTCATTTATCATAGGTTACAAAGGTGATCAACTTATTTTTATGAATATAGTCAAATGGCCTGAAACTGGGAAGGCACTGGGCAACATGGGGGACTTCTTATTTTTAAAATAAAGTTATACTTCGAGTAATCAATAAAATAAAATAAAATATTCAACTCCATATGTAGCATGAGCTAGCAGTTACCTGGTCAGTCTGAATTTCCAAATATCTAAACCTTGCCTGCCTATCAACTGGGAAAATGTGAAGCCCAGCAATCAGCATGTCAATACCAGGAGCAGGACCTTGCACATAAACCATCACCCTATCTGGTTTCTTCTCGATTCTAAAAGACCCACCAATTTCATGCCATCTATCATCATTGATCTCAACTTGACCTCCATTGACCCACTGACCATCCACACTGAGTGCGATATTGACATTCTGAGGTCCAGCTGCCCCATAGCCAAGTCGAACCCAGGCAGATACTTGGTATGTCAAATAAAGTTCCACTTTGTCGGTGATTATTTGAGCAGGACCCATCCAAATCTGAGAGCGATTGGTCACAAGAATATAGCGACCACTTAGAGAGTCATGAGGTCCAAGGGAGTCTCTTGCCATGGAGGCAGTATATGTGGTGAACCAGTTCCGACACTTATCTTGCAGTTACCTAGAGGAAACCACCCATTGGTGCCATCACTGAGACTGCTGTTGGTGATTATGTTTACACCAAATGCTGCATTCTGCAAAGCAAAACTCATAATTAAAATGTTTGCAATCTATGTACTGTGTAAGACTTGTGAAACACAAGAACAGGGGCATAGAAGTATGAAAATTCCAATTTCTAAAAGTCCTATTTACTGAACCTCAATTGGTGGAGGAGGTGATGGAGGGAATTTCTCAGCGTGCTTTACAATCAAACTATTCAGAAGAATATCAATGCCCGCAGGTGGACCTTCCAAATAAATTATCACCCTTGATGGATTACCATTCAGAAGAAATTTTCCCTGCAATTGTACCCATTCTTTGTCTGTTGCCTGCACACTTTACAACAAACCATAATCCTTTCAGCAAAGCTCAGAGAACGAAGAAAGCTATATGTCAAGTATTTTGCATGAAAGACAGAGAATAGAAAATATTCTAACATTTCAAAGCCCCTATTTAGAAACAGGCTATTAAAGTATCTAGTCGTGTGCTCATTTGCCAAACCATCAATAAGTACATCAAATCTAACTGGCAATCTGAATTATACCCATTTGATTTTTATTTTATTTTTTTGGCCAAAAACCACAATCTCAAATAATAATCTTGAAAGAGCTAGCCAAATGGAGGAAAAATACATAATTAAACTTCAAACTAGGAGGGCAAAAACGTTAAGTACATAATCATGTTCCATCTATACAAGTTTTAACAGAAAATTTGACAATAAAAATAGGAATGCTAAAATAAAAAATGGTACACCAAAACACCATTAAATGAGTGTTACCCTAACAGACAAGGCAAGGTAGATTTTTTCCATCAAATTGAATGAATCTTTAAGTTATTTAGATTGAAACTTCAAGATAATACAGATTATGCAGCCTCTGCTTTATAGAAATTTCAGTACATATAAATATTAGAAGCCTCATATAGCTTTATCCATGGTTGTTAGATTCACTTGAAGTTTCATAATTAGAATTACAAGCTTCATGGAATGCAGCAGATTCTCAACATTTAAAAAGGTCATTTTGTCATACAAATATACACTAAAAAGCAAGAATATCTAATATCATTCAATTGATGTTTAGCTTGAAGGTGTTTCTGACATCTAACTGTCACACCACACGGATGCCAAATCTCATCTTTCAGGATTCTTTTTCTCTTTTTCTACTTATGAGAAGGCAACTACTGCTAGAGCTGGAACAGCAGAAATTTCTAGCAAGGTTCCCCTAGCCCCTACAACTACCCCTAGCCTTTGAGTCAGATCTACAACTTATGCATTATAACTCTTTGAAGCAGTAATGAAATCATCCGTTGATCATGTGATATAAAAAGACAACCATGCAGAATACAAGAAAGGAAAATACTAACTTGGCAATGCTTATATATTGTTCTCGGAAATCTGGTGTCTGAACCCACAATGTAGCCCGTACATCAGCAGTACTGACATTGTTACCAAATATTCGAACTACAGCAATAACCTCATATGCAAGCTTCCGCTGCACTCTCCCAGTTATCTCCTGCTGAATCCATTCCAGGTCTGTGTGCGTTCTGTCGCAGCTGCAAAGAACTTTCCAGATTGTGGCAGGACTTTCCCACCCCCCATAGAGTCATGTAAGACAATCTTACAGCCTCTTGCAGACCAATTTTTAAGGCCATCCTCAAAACTTGGGTTTAATATAATGTTCTCATTTCCATCAGCAATGCATTCTCTGCCCATACTCTATCAAATTGAAGAGGATAAACTTTCAAAAAAGTGCTTTTAAGATATATATTTTTCTTATAGAGATTTTATGAAAACAGAAGCTATTTTGCATTTGGATACAATAAAGAGAAGCACTTTTTTAAAATGGGAAAAATAAGAGTTGTCATTTTGAAATTACATAGGATATTTTTGTCCAAAGAAAAATGAAATTAGCTTCTTTGTCTTAACTATAGATTTTACAACAATTATTTCATTCATGTACTGCCTATATGAAAAAGTTTATTGATGTTCTAGAAATCTTATTTGATATAAAGACACGTGTGTCTCATGTACTAAGACGTGTCACCTTGCTCGGACACAGGCAGGAAAAATAAAAATTAGACACAACAAGTGGAGTGTATGTCCCGCACATGAGTTGGTGTGTCCATAGAATATTGGACACACAAGCACATGTCAGGACATGAATACATCACCCTAAACAGAGTTTCCATGATTCCTAAGGTGTTATCTGATACCACATTGTGAGAAGGCTTATATATAACCTTAAATCCCAATTTTTTTGGGCTGTCAGGTTTCCTTATGGAGGGAGTTTTAATTAAAAAAGCCCTGTTTATACGGCTTGTCAAGAAGCACTGGTTTAGGGCTTCTGATTATAAAAGCCTTGAGAGATTTCAGCAAAAATTCCCACAAACCAAACAACGAAAATTCCTACCTTTTTGTCTTTTTGCTCTTTCCCTAAACAAGGGTAAAAAACAAAAACAACAAAAACAAAAACAAACAAACAACCCCTAAATACTCTAATTTCAAATTTCTCAATACAAAGTGCACCACGTCAGGACACTACACACTAGATTTTATTTTCTCAATACACAATCCTAATATTTTCTGCATGTTGACTTTATTTATAGTACAATAAGTAGGCATGACTTTTTTATGGTATACTCACATCACTTGTACTGGTGTTTGGACAGGAGATGACAACTGACTCAATTAGGAGGTCTACTCCAGGAGAGGGTCCTTCCAAATAAAATACAACCCGTTCAGGCAGAGCTGAGAGTGAAAATGTGCCCTCTACTTTCGCCCACTGCTCCTTGGAAACAGAAGTTCTGCACCATGTGATGGTTGTTAAGAAGTTATTTGTTCTGAATAAGAAAAGCCATTATTACGTTGAAAAAGGCATAATTACCTTCCAATGAACAAATAGCTAGCAGCAGAATCTCTGTATTCTAGCTTCAGCGTGGCCTGGACATTGGCAAGACCCTGAATGGGACCCGAGACACCAACACTAGCAAGAACTGTATAGTTAGAACCTGAGAAAATTCTCCCTGTTATATCTTGTTCCAAACCCTGCCAACATTCCTTGCGGTTTGAGATAACAGCATAATTGCCACTTGACTTTGACGCTAATCCTTCTCTATGACCAGACTGAGGCGAAACCACAAAGGCATCACAGCAGTTGGCATGCCATGAATCCAACCCTTTGGAGAAGTCGTGGTTCATTATGACATTGGCAGTATCTCCATCCTTTAAACTGTCCATGTTTCCATTTGATCCCTGCAAAGGAAGTTCAAGCAAATAAAGTTGATAGAATTACCTGCTGAAAAGTTTGAACAAATTGAAATGTGAAACTACTCTGATCTATTTCCAAACACACTGGGAGAAATATTTCATGTAATTTCTTGAAACGTGACCTCTCAAAATGTGTATAACTCCAAAATTAGTCTTCAGACACACAACTTCAATTGGCTCCAAATGCCCTAGAATGACCTACCCCATTCTTTGTATGTAAATCAGCAGTGGCCTCATTCTAAAAAAGCACGTCCTACAACTCAAGATTTCCAGTACACATTTTCCGTCATACTTTGGTACCTAGAATATACGCTATCAGACAATTAGGTAGCTGAATGGACAAAGTTCATTTAATTTTGCACTCTTAAATTTCACCAAACTGGTCAAGAACCCCATTGGCCCAGTACAAAAAGAGATCAAACTCAGAAAACCGAGATGAAAATACACGTACCCCAGAGTGAAAGGGGTCAGCATTGCTTGTTGACGGGCTTTCCATTTTCTCTCCAGTTCTCTGCAGTCACCACAAATAAAGCAAGGAGAGCTTTTGTCAATGAAACTCGGAAATCATTCACAGAGAGAGAGAGCCCCGGAGAGTACCTGTGACGGGTTGGGCTCCCGATGGCCTTCGTAGACTCGACCTACAAAGCAGCAGGCCCATGGTCGCCCCATTAAATACCAAGCCAAACAGTGCCTCTGAATCTCTAAGTAAAGTCTACGAAAAGCGGGCGGCCGTCTATATTCGCTTTTGTCCGGTCAATTTAAATACGTAATCCCGGGAAAATCCTCAGTTTTTTTTTTCTTGGAAAAGGCAGGCTGTAAACCTTCTCTGTCTCTCCTCTTGCCGCGTTTGCCCTTGCTTCTGTTGATCGGCTTACTTTGTCTTGCAGATTGCGGAAAACCTTCTCGCCACTACCATGCTTGAATTGGAATGGAAGATTTGCAGAGCTAAACATTTTGTTAGTAAAAGCCACCTCTCTAATTAGATTTTAGCTTCCTCAGACGCTTCAGATCTTCAGTTAGATGGGAATCGTCATTATAATTAATGGTTAGGTAAAGATTTGCTTTCCTTCAACAGAATTCCCCCTCTCTCTAGAAGCAAGTTAGCTTCATTGGCTCTGAGATACTTAGTTGGCGTCGAATTTGATTGGTGCAAGCGCAGGCTCCGCGAAGAGTTCCATGGCAATCTTTTTTGCTGGTTATTCTAACAATTGATATAGTAATACTTCCATTTCTAGGGTTTTAGAACTCGAACTTAGACACTGAAGAATTTTGCAAAAGGAACTTCTCAGTTCATTCATATTTAATCCAATAGCTATCTACCTCCAGAGCGAAGTCCTCGAATTTTAAAAGAAGAACGTAACCCAGTCCTCTTAAAGATGGCAGCTGCACTGGTCCGCCGGTAGGAGGTCCTCCAAATAACAGCAAAAGGCTGGAATTCAGTGAAGTCATGTTATGAAAGTGTAAATGACCAGTTTTAATTGCAACAAATTAACTTCCAGATTAATATAAGAATTTATTTTAAAAATTACTTTTAAAATATTTTATTTGAAATTGAGCATCGTAAAAAGGGCGTGTTCAATTTTTGAAGCAAATGTTCTAATTTTATTTTTAAAATTTATTTTAAAATATAAGTAAAGAAATAAGGAAGTGTTCTTTTTAAATTTTAAAAGAAAAAATTTCTATTTTTTGAATAGTATTTTTGAAATCTTATTTCTTTACTTATGTTTTAAAATATATTTTAGAAGTAAAGTTAGGGCATTTACTCCAAAAATTGAAAGTGACTTTTTGGTCATGCTCAATCTCAAAGAAAATGTTTTAAAAATAATTTTTAAAATAAAATTTGAGATTAATTATTATATTTTATAAATAAATCTGATAAGTTCTAAAAGTAAATTTCTAAAAGAATATAATTTCATAATTTTATTTTCTAAAATACCACTCTTAGACATGCTAAAAGAATAATGTTTTATTTTATGAAATTATCTTTAAAACATTATGTTTTAAAAATATACTTTAACTTTAAAGATATCTAAATTTGAGATTGAAAAAAAACACTTCCTAAAATTTTAAAAATATTACTCAAAAAGTAGAGATTTTTGTTTTTAAAACACAAAAAGAACAGCCCTTAATTTCTTCCTGAAATTTGCTCATTTGTTCCAATGTCTTACAAAATTTTGGCTTTATTGCGATTAAAAAGTGTCAAAAATTGTTTTTATGGACCTTAAATACTCCCATGATTCTTTCATGTGCAAAAATTATGAGTTTTAAATGCCAATTGTGATTTTTGTTTAAGAAGTTAAGAAAAAATGTGAACATTGTATTTTTAGAAATAAAATACATCCCTAAAGCATACTTCTAAAAAAATATAATCCTATAATTTTACCTTCTAAAATATCACTCTTAGATATTCTAATAGAACAACATTTTATTTTAAAAAATTATCTTTAAAATAATATGTTTTAAAGACATACTTTAATTTTTAAAATATCTAAATTGAAGATTGAAAAAGAACACCCGTTAGAATTTCCATTTGAAAAGTTAGTTGAAAACCAAATATATTTTTACTTCTAAAATTTTGAAATTAAATGTGTGAAACTAAAACCATGGGGAACAAAATGAAATTTATGAAAGCATGGGAGACCAAAAGTACAATTTACACTATTATGGAATTTAAATGCCCAAAGCTACTCTCAACCCGACAGAATTAATTTCATGGTGCACCTGCAAGTCACCTATGCAGAACTTGATGATTTTCATTTCACTTGGTAATGTCAGGGAGAGAACACGTGAAATTTAGTTGACACCAAATGAACAGACATCTGCCAACAGCAGCATCTGAAAATTTGATCAGAGGAAGGGATTGCGCAAAGAATTAACTGTCTCATTCATTAGTAGCAACAAAAAGAAGAAATATAAAAAATTTCCTAGCCTTCCCACGAAGCAAGATAAAGTTTCTTCACTTTGGCACCTGCCATGGAAAAATGACCGCATGCAATCCTTAAAATAGACATGGATAAAGAATAATTGCTCAAAATAAAAACAACAGAAAGACCTTCATTCAGATGACTGAACAAAGTCAAGCAAGCAACCTGGATAATTTTTATAGCTAGTGCAGAAAATATCAATGCTTCTAGGTTAACAAGCACCATTTCCGGTAGAACGAGAGTATCCATAATCCACATAGCTTATGACTCTGATGTCCGAAGTTGGAAGTCTGTAGTCTGTAATCTGTACAAAATGTCACTAATTCCAGGTTCTAAGATAACAAAATGGTATGGAGGTATCAAGATCCCATCAAACATTCGGTCTCATGTTATAACAGCGTGCAAGGCGGTCAAAAGTTCCATCGGCTACAATACCATCTATCAGCTCATACTTCTTATAGTTTGTCTTTAGGTTTTCTTCTTGCTGTGCTGCAAGCTTCTCTTCCTCTGCTATTTGTCTCTGAGAAATAAATAATAAGCACAAAACGAAACCCAAAATTATAAGATAACTATGAGAATTATCCAGAGAAACTAAGATGCACTTGACATGAAGTACATGCAAGAGTTTACCTTTAGCATGTATGAAGCTTCCTCAGCATGTACCCTTGTCAGAAGCTTGAGTTTCTTTGCTATCTTAAAGTCAGGGTCCTGCTGGTCTAACCAACAAAAGTGTATGCTTCTCCCGGGCTTTCTTGGCCGATCATCAAACATCACTGCTTCAGCAGCACGTGCCCGGACAGGCCTTGGCATTCCAGATATCATGAATGGGTAATTCTCAATCTCCAACAAAATTCGCACAACCTGATCTGCGTTTTCCAATTCCACCAAAGCACTACGTGGTACATAATTTGGCTCAGTGTAGTTCATAATGAACCGAACATTGGTCACATTTCCAAACTGATCAAATGCCTTTTTCATAACAGCTTCAGTAACCAGGGGTGAGAGGTTGTCAATGAAAATAGTCCGTCTCACCTTTTCTTCAAATGCAGCATATTCTGCGTCTGCTGAATTCATGATGAAGCTACAAATTCCAATTCTCCATCAGAAACAGAAGTTTAGTATGATCAAGTTCACAATCAATTTACAAATATTTTATATGCATATCTACCAAGATAGAATATATCCTCATTCTGTTAAACAAAATCTATCCATCGCATCCATTATCAAAAACTTGTTCTATGCTGCAAGGTGCCATTGCAAATCCTATTTCTTTGCACTCCATTTGAAATGCAAACCAGTGCATGTAAAACACCAATGTCAAGTAGATTAACTTTTGCACAAGCAAAAACTATCAGTGCAAAGAACTTGTACCACGTTCTAGAATAAGCAGACCAACATTAGTTTAAAAAAAAAAAAAAATAGTTTACATCAAGCTGGCCGCAATGTTATTCAGACTCCAGATCTGCAAGTAACATAAACGTCACAAATTTAATACATGAACCTGATTTCTTTTGCCTTTTAACACACTCATCCATCCAACTTGTATATTGTCACCAAGATTTCCACCTCTAGTGAAGTAGTACTCTATCAAGCATCACTGACCATTCCATGTCACAATCAGAGTGTAGCATTTGCTGCAATTTATAGCAGGTATGTCATGGAGTAGGCAAACTTAATTCAATTAAGTTTTCAGAAGCTCAACACTGTAGTTTCTTCTTTCACACACTACAATGACGCCACAAGCCTCTTAAACACGATATTTTTTATGTTCCATTATGTTATACACGAAACAATTGCATCACCTTCATTTGATATGTAAATTGAATATATCAAGTGGCTAACGCTCGTACAGCATGTCTTTGTTGACTGTCCCCCTTCAAGTTATTAATTCTTTCCACGAGTATGTGTGGACTCGTACACTGTGGAGCAAAGTTTAATGTTTTACAGAACAAATTTTTAACTTCCATGGTTGAAAATTTGCCATTTACATTGTTGATTCCTTGCACTTCCCAACTTTCTTTCTTATTGCTTCTCATCTCTTCGAAAAGCTTCACTATCTTTATAGTCAGCGTTGATTCACTCCCTTGATCAGTCATGCATTTGAAGAGAAAAATAAAAAATAAATAAACACTGACAAAAGCACTTTTCGCTTATCATTTAAGTGCCAATGCGTTGCTACTTCATTAAGGGCATGGAATTGATACACGTTAAAGCAGCTAAATCATGATTTCAAAAATCTAACCAGACATGTAAAAGAGAGAAGATAAAAAAAGCCCATCACCAAAATCCAATAGCACTAGTATAGTGCACCATCTGGAACTAGCATTGAATAACATTAAAGTTTCAGAAGATCAGAAGTAGTTATATTGGGAATCAACAGTACGAGGGCTTGAAATCAAGCGGGGATACAAAATCCTGGCCTAAATTCGGCACTTGGCAATACCCCTGCACATTAACTAGCAGTAGCAGGAAGAAACAAAATAATGCAAATGAATATATTATATATAGACAAGTATCATGGATATAAACGAATTATCACTTGCAAAACAAGTATATGGATGTATAGTATATAACATAAGAAAAATCAGCAATCACTAACAGGAAACAGAAAGGATCAACAACACACAGGAATGGCAAAAGCCTGACTGAATTGCAGAAATTAAAAGAATAAAGAGCAGAAAAGCAAACAACATAGATGCATGCGTCCTGCGAAATTACTTTTGATAACTGTAAGTGATTATGAAACCTATTTTCTAAATAGTTTGGAAAATGGATTTTCCCAAGTAAAAAAAACGGTAAAGGAAAATGAAAGTTCTTGTTTTTACAAAACTCGTAAATTTAATCATACAAAACTTCTTAGCTTTTTACTAAAACTTCATTTAATATCATCCTACGTTTCTAACCAACTGCTATCTGATCTTTTTTTTTTGGCTCAAAAACCCAAAAAAAAAAGAAAAGAATGAACCTGATCTTTTGCTTCCTTTTCATTTCATATCATTTTTCTTCCATATTCTCGTCCCACAAAATGTCCATATTACAAGTATAGACTTACAAACATACTTTTATTTCCTCATCAAAAAGTGAGTGAAATATTGCAAGAAATTGTGGCTAGATCATCTCCTTGTTTCTATTTCTCTTCTTTTCTCATCTAAATTAAACAATCATTCCTTTTCGTCCCATCGTTTGTCTCATCAACAGACAAAGAGACGAGTAATTTGGGACATTAGACGTCGAACTACGTCGATTTAATGAACAATAAAAATAATGGCACTACGAAACAGACTTCTAAAAATAAATAAATAAATAAACAAATAAAAAGAATGCTCGCAAATGTTGCCTGTCTACGTTAGAAGGCAAGAAGTATTCAGGTTCGAGAGAAGAAACACCTGGCATCACTGACTCGAGCACGAGCAGAGGTTTGAGTCGACGAGCTCTAACCTTGAATTTCCAACGAAAAACAAAAATCAAATCGCGGTGGACGTGTACATAATATCAAATAGTTTAGATGTCTGATGGATGGCTAGGGTTTTTGCTTACCGCTGAACTGATAAAGGAAGAAAATCCGAGCGAGTGACTGTAACAATTCCAAGAATGTGAAAGAAGGTAGAGAAGAAAGAGAAGAATTCTCAGAACATCGTCGAGAATGTGAGATGAAAAAGCTACCGTACTTTCTTGCTCCCTGCTTTTGGCCACCTTTGTTAATGGAAGAAGCAGACCATTTTTTTTTTCTTTTTTTTTCTTTTTGGGGTAAAATTACAACTGGCCAGGCCACTGCGGTAAAATTGACTGAAATGGCTGAAATATAAATATTTTTTATTTAAAAATAAAATTATTTGTAAAAAATAATAATATTTTTTAAATATTTTATTATTATAATTATTACAAGCACAAATATATATGATTATAAGAATATATTTATATAATTATAAGTATATATCTGTAATTATATTTATGTAAGTTATATTTTTAATTATATAAATTTATATTTGTAATAGTTATAATAATAGAATATTTTAGAAATATAAATCTCTTTTGTTGATAATTATTTTTTTCACCCCAAATGAAGACATTTTAAAATTTAACCTCCTCAATAATTAAAATTATTTGCCAATAATTTTTACTTTTTTTTAGTATTTTGAAATTGAAAATTTGCTAAAGTGAGCCCTGGCAAGGGTTATTTTGATTCTCTCTTTTTAAATTTATACATTTTATTTTAAAATTTCAAGATTTAACATTTTATAAGTTTTTAATTTACAATTTTGTAATTTAAAAAGTAATAATTTAAAATTCTGTTATTTGAAATTTAATAGTATTAGTTCAAATAGGTAAATTATTAAACAAATTTTGATTTAGAAAAAAAAACAATTTAAATGGTTATTTAAAAATTTGATATGTAATATGCTACAAAAGTGATACAATTAATATAAAAAATAAATAAAATGTAATAATGGTTGATTACAAAATATATATAACATTTAAAATTTGGTGTGTAACATTAATACAATAAATTTTTATAAGTTATAAATTGAAAAAAAAACGTGATATTTAGTACAAAATTTATTATTAATATTTTAAAAATATTAACAAATTGTTTATCCATAGCGTTTTGCCGTCTAGTTTCACAAAAATTTTAGTTTTTTTTTTCAAAATTTCTACCTGAAATTTTTCATAAACTATAAGAAAATTAGTTTTGAGTTTTGAAAATTAAGAATTTTAAATTAAATTTAAGAACTTTAAAATTTTATCAATTAATTCTTTTTTAAAGAATAAATTTTTCAAAATATTTGTTTATTCAAAAAAGGTGTAACTTCTTTGTAACCAAACAAATTTAATATTACCAATTAATCATTAAAAATATAAATCAAAGTAGCAATGTTTTAAAATATAAATTATTAAAAGCACGTTATATTTTAGTTCAAACATAAATTTCTTTATACAAAAAAAAAGCTTTTTATATTTAATCAGAGTGTTATTACACACCATTTTTTGTAATAAAAGATCCTAAGCCCAATATATATATATATATATATAAATTAATATATTCCAGAAAAATATGAACTACTTTTATATAATGATAAAAAAAACATCTTTAACTTAGTTAGAGAAAGGCCATTGAGCTGGAGCAGGTGGATTAGGTTGGGGTTGAGAGAGAGGGGGTTTACTTTGCTGAAATTGGGACAGGGCGAGGATTAGTGAGTGGACCGGATGGGCCAAGACAAACTCAACAGACCGGCTGGAATGGGCAATGAACAGACTGAGAAAGTGGGCTAAGTCCAAGGAGAAAAGGGGCTGAACTTGGGCCTGGGTAACAGATGAGGCAAGTAAAGTGAATTGGGCCTGATCTCATTGGACTAGGCTCGCGCAGATTAAGTTGGAACAAAAGGAGCAGATTGAGCCAACCTCACTTGCAGATTGGGCCAATGGGCAAGATCCAGAGAAGTGGGGCTTAGGCCTAGTTCATTTGCAGCGGATTGGGTCGCAGGCTATCCGGGTAAGGGAAGCTTTTAGGGCAGAGACGATGGGAGAAACCAGAAGCTCCCTGGGAAGCTTCTGTCAGGCACGATGTTGCCACCCAATAGCAGCGTCGTGGTCGGCGATGGACCCAAAGACTCAGAACGATGCCGACAATGCAGGAGGGAAGCTCGACGAAGCTGATCAAAGCCCCGGCAGTAATTTCCGTTCCGAGCATTTGTACAACGCGAGGGAGATGGAACCAAATTCGAGCTGTTCTATCGGATGGGAATGTCATCCGGAAGCAGGTTAGGATTAAAAGGATCCAATCTAGCTATGAATAGTTGCCGAAGGATCTTTGTTTGTCATGGAGTTCATGAGAGAACCTGAAGCAGAGAGCAGAGTGTTTCCTCTGTAATCTGGGAATATGATTAATAGAGGTTGGGAAGGTTTCCCGTAATCCTAGTGTTTGGATTGTTTCTTATTTCTTCCTCCTTCTCTTTCTAATTATTCTGAGCTTATTTAATGTCTTCAAGCGTGATTAAGCTCCAGCGTTCAACAGAGAACTCCAAAGCTTCTACTAGTGCTGACAAACCCCAGGCTTGCGGTGCTCAGCCGTACCCAGCAAGGCAGACGAAGAGCTCCGGCGATCCTTGGGGTTATAGGGGTGGTTGGGATCAGCGGTTTAGTAAGCTAGCAACCAGAACAGCTGGCTACTTTATTCGGTAGGACATTACAGAGAAGGAGCGCGTGAGGAAGAGCAGGCGCTTGAGGCAGTGGGGAGAAGAAAACCAGACGCGCGCGGGCGGGAAGAGCAGCCCGCGTGCAGGTGCGTCGGCTGCAAGGATGACCAACAGGTGCACGGGGTAGGCTCTGGCACGTGGAAGTGCATGCCAAGCCCAGAAAAGAACCAACACTCGGCATTTTGGTAAGTAACCAAAGAAAATAAAAAACTAATTGAGATTTACTATTTTTTTGAAAAATAAATCATGTTTATTTGAATTTCTGCTAACCTGGCGACGCATCCTCCAACCTTGGACACCAAGCTAGAAATTTTTTCATATATTTTAATAAATTAGGAAATTGTATTTTCCCAGACAACCGACCCCTTTGAAAGATGAGTAAGAATCGTTAACCGGAAGGTGCCTTAAATTTTTTTTTTTGCCGGGGGGGGTGGGGGGTTGTTGGGGAGGAAGAAGGAGGTGTCATGAATTCATAATGGGCTGGGCATTTGATTGCAACTAAGAGGCCAAAACCAAAATGGTCTTTTCTTTCTTAAGAGGATTGGGCCAGCGGGCCTTTATTTCTTTTTTTTTTCCCAAAAGGAAGGGGCTTTTCTAGAAGTGTTAAGAACCGA